TTTAATCTTGAGATTTTAGTTTCTGAATGAAAGCATGTCAATTTCTAGTTCCAGTGGCCCAGTGTCGTCTTCATTATGGGCTTGCTTGTTGAATTCATGGGCTTGGCAGATGTTTATTCTGTCTTTATCTTCACTGTCTCCACCTTCTGTTCACATAAAGAGGGTGTTTAGTCTTATTCATGATATTTTGTCTGCCTACATCCTCATAGATGTATTGATTCTAATCCCTGGTTCAGAATGAAAAACATTAGGGCAACAGGAGAAGTTAGAACGAAGGAGGCAATGTTAATAAATGTAGAATTTTTTATTTTATGTTGTAATGCTTACTCACATTCCCAGAAAATATGTCACCACCAGTCTTTGGTTATTGTGGCTTATGTATTAATATCTAAAAAAATACCATAAAATCTGAACATTTCTATATGGTAATATGTGAGAAAAATACCAAGAAGACTCTTTTTCTTCCCTACTTGAGCAGATACACTGTTTTCCTAAGTCTAAAGTTGTGTTTTCCATAGTGAATACAATTCTGATATAGCATGTTTAATTCTATAAAATCAAAACTTACAGGTTTTAGGCAGTTTCTTCCTAACTCAAATTTTTTTGTATTTAAAAAATCAAAATTCATAAGCTTTATTTTTCAAGATATAGACGTTTTCATAATAAGGAATCTATCTACCATAAATTTCCTCCTATGCCATGTCCCCAAGGCTGACATCCGCTCTTTGATTTTTTTTTAATCTCCTATAGGATCTTTCAAAGATGGTTTGGCTGCCTTGGAGATTTGAAGATCTGAGGCCACGATGAGGACTCACACACGGGGGGCTCCCAGTGTGTTTTTCATATGTTTGCTTTGCCTCGGGTCAGCCTACATCGCAGATGAGAGCCCAGAAGTCATGATTCCCTTCACCAACGCCAACTACGACAGCCACCCCATGCTCTACTTCTCCAGGTCAGAGGTGGCAGAGCTGCAGCTCCAGGCCGTGAGCTCGCATGAGCACATCGCGGCCCGGCTCACGGACGCTGTGCACACCATGCTCTCCAGTCCCTTGGAGTACCTCCCTCCCTGGGACCCCAAGGACTACAGTGCCCGCTGGAATGAAATCTATGGGAACAACCTGGGCGCCTTGGCAATGTTCTGTGTGCTGTATCCCGAGAACATCGAAGCCCGGGACATGGCTAAAGACTACATGGAGAGGATGGCAGCACAGCCTAGTTGGTAGATTTTTGTCTTTTTCTTCTTACTGTATTCACTTCGGAGTTTAAAGAAATGAATTCATATTCAAATGAAACCTCAGAGGTCAGGTTTTCACATATCTTTTTTTGTGTGTATGTGTGTGTGTGTGTGTGTGTGTGTGTAGGGGGGTTATTTTTATTTGTGTTGCCTGTGGCTTATGAATGCCCACAGTTTCAAAAGACCTGGTAATTTCCATGTTTCAGGTTAGAAGGAAGATGTTTAGATGCAGCCTACCCAAAGAGAAAATAATTTACAGGAGTGAGTAAGCAGTGTCACATGTTGATTGTTGAGAATTCTCCCTGTCCTGTTAAACATGCATAGAATGTACAGTTATGTGTCCCTTAATGATGGAGACATTCTGAGAAATGGATCGGTAGGTGACTTCATCATTGGGCAAACACCATAAAGTGTACTTACACAAACCTGGATCATATAGCCTATTACACTTGGCATTAATAAATAAATAAACAGGAAATATGGGAGGCTACTGCTGGCATAACATGCCACAGTGTTTTATAGTACATATTTTTAATAAGTAGAAGGAATATGCTCCAAAATAACATTAAGAAATATAGTATAATAAATACATAAATTAGTAACAGTTTATTATCATCAACAAATATTGCATAATATACATAATTTTATGTGCTGTGCTTTTATGTGACTGGAAGTGGAGTAGGTTTGTTTTCACCAGCATCAGTGCAAACATGAGTAAAGAATGTGATGTGATGATGGCCATGAAGTCATAGGCAATAGGAACTTCTCAGCTCAGTTATAATCCTGCAGGACCAACATCACCAAATATGTGTGGTCCTGTGCTGACCAGAAACTATTATGTAGTGCATAACTGTATTCCCATTTTGATTGACCCCCTTCCAGTGGGTAAAAGTTTTTGCCAGCAAGAAATTTCAGCAAGTGAAGACTTATTTGCACTAGATGACAATAAGGAACCCAAAGTCAATGTGATGGGTGGGATTGGCTGGCTATTTATAAACAAGATTCTATCCAGTTAACCAGTAGCTTGCCCAAACCAAACAGGAAAACCAGTATTACAGTGAAATTATGCAAAGGATTCTAATTATGTAATAGTTTACTTTCATAAGTTCAGGATTCAAAAACAAACTTTCTGTCTCTTTTTGGCTACTTTAAATTTGTTTTATTTGTTCATAATTAATGCTTCCATAAAGATGTGGGTTCAATTGACTAAACTGCAGATGCTAGAGCTTTTTTTAGTTTTACAAATTATATGAAATATCTTTTTAAAATTATGTAAGTTTCCACTTGTCATTGTCAGATGCTAAGAATAATCAGTGGGTGAATTTAATTCTTTGATGAATTGCATCTTACATGAATTATATCTTATATATCACAGAGGTAAAGAATGGTGATTTGCCAGTCCTCTGATAAATATGTGGAATTTCATAATGAAAAAGAATATAGATGAATTGGCATTAAATTAGGATTATTTTTAAGTATATATAGTCATTTTGAAGCTTACAATATTTTAGGCTGAAAAGAACCTTTTATTTGGTTTGTTGCAAATACAAAGTTTAGGTATGTATGCAGTTCCGACTCTGATTCATATTAATTGATCTTATTCCATTCCTGATGCCAAGAAAGAAAATAAAAGATGTGTGAAAATTTACATCATAATTGGACAAGATTTTATATTACCAAATGTTACCATAACTCAAATGGTTAATATGCTTACATTATTTAGTAGAAAAACCTTGTAGTCCATAACAATACTTTCTCTTTCCTTTTTTTGTTTTATATAAGTGGATTTTGTCACATTAAGATACTGATGGAAATGTGCCAGAAAGATACTGTGAAAAGCTGTCTATTTCATCTCACATAAGACTAACAGACTGTGAAGTACCTTTTTTAGTAAATGGAGATCTTAATACAAATACAATTGTATTAAGAATTGTACAGAACAAGTGCAATTTTATTATAATAGAAAATATTCAGGTATGTGAATACTAATGAATAACTCCTTTTGTTAGAGCAGATTAGACACCTCTGATAAAAATAGATAACTTTGAACAAAATTTTAATTTTCATGTAATTCTTAGAAATTCAGATTTACTAGTCAGTAGAAGTGTGTGAAATTTACTAGCGGACAAGCTTTATTTATGGCAGTATAGATAAAAATCAGCATGACTGGGTACTGTTATACAGTGATCAGAAGCCAGTGTGGCTCACTAGGCCTAACAGGTGGCTTCTTTCTCTTGACCTCCAAGAAGCTGAAGGTTGGAAATTGATTAGTTCCAGAAAAGATTGTAGTTCCAGATATGATAAGGAACAGACAGTTGAACTACTCGAACATGGTTGTACTTTTTAATGATTTTATGGAAATTTTAACTTTTGAAAGACAACCACAACTCCTAGGCTCTTAAGCATTCATTTAGGTTTGTGGTTGAAGGTAATCACTTTTTGACAACTGTTAAATGTTTTCACAGTTCAATTCTTCTGTTTAAATTGTTCAACTAAATCATATGTTCTCATTATATGCAAAAAAAAAAGTGTGTATGAGAATTGTCATTGTCCTGGACTATAGTTCACCTCTATTTCATTTCAGAAAAAAGTCTGGTTCCTATTTATAAAAGAGTTAAATAATTGATACAGAACTTAAAAACCTACAGTGCTTTCCTCAGCCTAACTATATTTGCCATTGTCCTTGAAGAGCAGTTCTAATCTTATGAACCCAGTGACTAAATTGTGTTCGTTTATATACTGAGGATTCAATGAAAAATTGGCCCAGTAATTTTATAATTTGCACCCAGGGTAAGGAGAGCCCACATTGGGTACTTAAAACCTAAGCTAGGAATATTTCTTCTGCTCGAATTGACTATAAGAATAATTTAGTGAGAAGTTCTATTAGTTTTTATTCATGACGTTATCCGTTGTATCCTCTATTCCTCTAATGTGGTAGGAAAATACCAACTCTGGAGTCACACTGCCTGCATTTGAATGTCCCACTCTTTAGTATGTTGCTTCACATTTATTTTCTTAGATTGTCTGAGCTCTAGTGTCTGGTTGTATAATGTGGTAATAATAACTGAATTTACCTCATAGCATTGTTAGAGGATTAAGTGAGATAATCATTGTAAAGTACTCAGCACAGTTTCAGTCACACAGTAAGTCTTCAGTAACAGAGTGGCAGTGATGATAGTATTACTTTCATTTTACCTACTACTGTTGGTTTATAACTTGGTATATGTGGGTTCTAGGGAAGTGGTATTTATTTGGAGGTTTTCTCACTTTTATTCAAATAGCTCTCAAAACTAGAACATCTGTTTAACTCATAAAGTTATCCTTTTGGCTTTGTTCCATCAAAACTTTGAGCGATGTGCCTATGCCTCCTCCCCTTAAAGTCACACAGTACTCTAATGGTAATGTCAGTAAAGAAGCCTGGTGTTAAAAAGAATTGCATATGAAGTATGCATGTGTACAAATTCATTAATAAGGTTCATTTCATTGAGTAGTATAAATAAGGATTTTAAAAGTTCACATCCATATATTGACCAAAAGAAATACTACTTCTCCTGAGGTTTTCATGCAGATCCCTCACCGTTCTTGTAAATGTCACTGCAGCGCATGTGTGATGAATTGCATGGGCCTGGTTTTTACCCTGCCCTAGCCTGAGAGTAGGATGATGCCTATTTGAACAGGTGAATGGCCCCAACAGGGGGTCACCAACAAATTTCACTAACCTACGTGGGGCAAGGGTGGGAATGGAAGAAATGGGCTTGTGGTCAGCTTAAGGCATTTTTTTTTTTACTAGCTTAATTCTTCACTAGAATTTTGCATATATGAACAAAGTTAATGACCCATGTCCATCAGGCAGTGCCCTTCTCCATTGTGTATCTCAGCCGTGTTCTTGGTAGACGGATTGCTGTGGGCTTAACTTCATACTTCTGAGCAGATTCTTTCAGTGATCTTCTAGAGCTAAACAAAGCAGAACAACAAAAAAGGCCAATTCAATTATTGGAAAAACTCAGCAGATCTGAAATCAGTTAAGGAAGGTGTAATTAAATTTACCATATTTTACTTGATCATGTGGGGAGAGGAAAGCATTTAAGAGCGATTTAAGATAGGTTGTAACAGGATTTGTTAAAGCCATAGTTGATAGTTATCCCTTGCTGGTTTCTAAGTAACAAGCTTCCTTAGGGCTTTGCTCTTTGATTGTAAACCCAAGGGAACAGGCCTGCCACAGTGTCTTGGAAGCCTGTCTATGCAGCTCTTGCATCCTGCCTGTCCTTTTAATTAGCTGTGTGTCTTTGGCAGATTCCTTAACCTTGGTAAGCATGTCCCTTCATCTGAAAGAGTCGATGATTCCTCCCCTGTGAGACTGCCAAGGATGAAAGGAGAGGGTGCATGTAAAGGCTCTTAGCAGGATGTGCCTGGCACAGTTTTACTAAAAAGTTCATCATTGTTACACAGAAATAGGTGTGCAGATACAATTTTATCCCACTACATTTTTTTGATACACAGTATTCCATTTTACCTTGTGTCCCTCTAGCTTTGTATTTTTCTGAAGTATTTGCTGTGAATCCTTCTATATAGTATTTTTGGTTATCATCAGACAGTAAATAAATCACAGGAAAGAAATTACTTCACTTTTGCATCAGAGCCAGTTGGCTTCAGGAAATCAGGAGAACTGGGAAGGGAAAAAAAAAAAGTTGAACTTTTGGACAGAGATGTAATTGTATTTTTTTTTTTTCCTGCAACAGCCTGAGTGTTAGATGCTTGCCTTTGGATTGCAGATTTCTGGTTGGTGACATTGGAGGGTGTAGTTGTAAAATAAAGAATAATAATAATAACAGGAAAAAAACCTTCTGTCACAGAAGGTTCTTGAAAAGAACCAGTTGGTTTCGTTGTTGCACTTCCCCAAAGTAAAGTGGCCCTGCCTTTCTGAGCACTGCCTGCTGGGCTCCAAATGCAGTTCTCTGCAGCCATTTCTCAAGCTTTTTGCTTGTCTGAATTGCAGGTTAAGGCTGAGAATCAAAAGGGAAGGATGTAGCTGGGCCCCAACATGTGGAGCCACAGCACCATGAGTAAAAGATGAGATTTTCCTCTCCTGACCTGTGGTGAAGGCTGGGAGGTGTAGCCCGGGTGCACCTGGAATCCATTAACGTGAACTGGAAACAGACTCTGGACTTTGGAAACCCAGCCCCCAATTCCTCTGGCTTTTCCTCATTCATGGTTTTCCTTTCTTTTGTCCCTCCCTCTCACTCTCTTTCTGTTTCTCTGTTCTTTCATTCTGCACCTAAAGAAATCCCTCCTCTGGCTTCAGATCCTTGCAAACAGAAGAGTAAAATAGCTGATGGCTACAAGCCCTTTGACACTGATCAGAGTCAGAAATTTACAGAAACGCATGTAGTACAGAAATGAGGCCATTTGGAACTCCCTTCTCGAGTGCCATTTCAAAAGCAGGCTATTGCTAGATCACTACAGATGGCTTCTTGGGCCAGAATTGAGGTGAGCAGACCTGTGACAGGAGGAAGCCTGTGGAGAGAGAGGTGCTGAGAGGCGAGGTCGGGGGTGCAGGTGAACTGAGCCCCCTCCGAGGGTGTTAGTGAACAGCTGTGTGCTGAACAGTCACACCCAGCATAGCATGCTCGGTTAACCCAAATCCTCCTCGCTACACCACTAAATTGAACTCTGAACCCTTCATCCATTTCAACTGCAAGCGATGATAAAGTCATTCTAATAATGCTTTTTTCTAATAAGAGCTTTAAGATATAATGGCAGCTGTAATCATACACAACTGAAAAGCAATACAAAATTAATTTTTTTGCAGACTCTGTTGTTTGATTCCAAGATTCAGTGCCAACTTGCTTCTGAGTGACCCGCTCAGTTGTTGCCTTTTAAAATGCAGCACAACCTTGCAGAGTTGCCAGAGTGAGCTGTGCTCAAGGCCAGAAGAACCCTCATTCCTCTTTTAATAGGGTCTCAGTCAGTGCCCCTCACCTCCTGCATACAAACACAGACAATACAAAGTTCCACATGAGCTTTAGAATCGGAATCTTATACGTTTTTCTCATTTAAAAACTTGGCAAGCATGATGTTTGGATTTTGTGCATTCCTAGTTGTGTATCTTGAGGGAAAGTGTTAGTTGGCAAGTGCTGCATGTAGGTATATCTGTAATCTATTGTGATACTTTATAATAATATTTTAAAAGTTGGCTTTATCTATACCAGTAAAGATGTAGAGTCTTGCTGACATTGCGTTCTTGCTAATGATACATAGATACTTATGACAACTGAGAGTAGCAATGACACGAGTATGTGCAGAGTCTCTTCCAGAGCCGGCTCATTCTTTTCACCATAGGTGTCTTCAGAGTAGTCTTTCCCTTGTCTGTCTCCTTCTACCGTATCAATTATGGGAACATGATTTTAGCCATGCTTCACACAGCCTCTCTCCTCCATCCTTCCTCTTCTTTTCCAATGTCCACACACTGTTTTTGGACAGCAGAAGGAGACGTGGTGAGGGGCGGATCATGCTTAGCCCTCATGAGCCTCTGACTTAGGAAGCTTTGGGATGGCCCCAAAGGGACGAATCAGGAAAAGAGAAACTGGATAGATGCTTACAGTATTAGTCTAGGATGGAAATGAAGACTACAGTTACAACAGTGAGAAGGAGGAATGAACCTAAGAGACATTTGAGACCAAAAATGTATAGTAACTGGCTGTAGGACACTGTCTCGGAGGGTGATCTTTCAGCAGGTAGCGTATCCTTAAAACACTTATTCTAGGGATGCTCTTTCCTCCAGACTCACTGCATCCCGCCCTCATGGAGGAGTCCTAGAGACTTGCGCTTTTAACAGGTTCCCCTGTGATTGTGGGGTACACTGACACTGAAATTGTAAGAGGGCATGGGAGGAATGCTGGCCCTGGGTACCTGGCTGCTGTTGATGTCCAGAGGAGATAGCGAACATGGGACAGATCATTGGTTTGTGGGAAGGAAAAGTTAGTTCTCTTTTTTCACATCTTTTTGTGTCTCTCACTGTCTGATATCCTGTGCATTTTATCTATTTCACTTTGTTGTTGTTACCAAATGTGTGGACAGGGGACTTTCAAAGCCGCCTGCCCTTATTATCATTACAGGGGTCACGATGTCCCTGACACAGATGCCTTTATTTTTAGGACCTCCTGACCATATCCACTGCATCTTACAAGTTCACCATCTTCCATTTTGATGTGTTCTTGGGCTTTTGTGTTGCTGCAATCATTTTTCTCTTCCCTCCTTCTTAATCTCTTTACTCTGAATGAATTGTGCTCTTGTTGGTTCTTTCACTGTTGAACATGGGTGAGCACATCAGAAAAGTGTGTTTCTGAGAGGTAAAAAAAAAAAAAAAATTCAGCCTGTTGTCACCTTCACCACAAATCATGCCCTCATCCAGAGTTTACAGGTTTTCTAAGTCATTTTTTTCTGGAAGTTTGTTATTTTATTGTGCTAAAGCTTCTCACCCACAGATTGGCATGGGCCTACTTGGATGTCTTGCCCTGGCATTTCCACTTCCGCCTTGAGTCTGTGCCAGGCCTTTCCACCTGCAGAGATCCTCAACTCCTGCACCTCTTCTCCTCCACACTTCTCTCCAAGCCTATCCAGACTTCATCATTCCAATTAACTTCTCCTTCCCTGCATTTTCTCTAACCCAGTGATATTTTTTATTCAACTCATGGGTTTTTAGCAGTAAGTGGATTGTCTACCTGATTCTCTAACCAGAAGTGCATGTCCTTGAGATGCAGTCCCAAAGAAACTTCTTCCTAGAATTTTCCTGGATCCCATCCCTACCCTGCCAGTGGGATTCAGATGCTCTAAGGAACCCATGCAGAATTCTTGAAGCATGCTTTGCCTGTACTGTAATTTTTGGTTCATTACCCTCCTAGACTTGTACACAAGCTTTTTGAGGGTGGCACCAACATTTTCATCTTTGAGTCCTGGAGCCTAGTATGGTATACCTGCCATGAAGACACTAATAGATTATACTGAACGAATGGTCATGTTTTGACAGAGTCTAGGCTTGCCAAAAGCAAGAATCCCGAGTCTCCATACAGTTTTACATTGACTTGTGCCCTGCACACTGGATACTCATGTGTTAGGCCTGGCTTTCACTCTGGAGACCCGCCTGCCTGTCAGCTTTTGTCAATCAGCGGTGGTCACGGAGACAGTGTCCCGTGACCCCCTGGAGTAGTAGGGATGTCAGGATTGACATCTGTGTGCATACATAGCTCACTGGCTCCTCTTGTACTCAGTGTTCTCATCCCTGATCATTTGAAATTTTGGCCTCTGTCCAATTACATGTAGTGTCCATGTGTGTTCCTGGTCAGATCCCCACAATAGAGCTTAGGTTTTATTCACTTTAAAGCCACCTGCTCCAGTTTTGAAGTGAACAGTGGTATCCAGCAGTAGGAGGTACCACAGTACCCTTGGAGTTTTAAAGGCAAAGGCTGTGGAGCCAGCCTACCTATGTCCTGACTCTATCTGCAAGCTGTGTGACACTGAGTGTGTTTTGTGGCCTCCATGGCTGTTTCCTCATCTGAAAATTGGACATAAATATGCTTACCTTTTAGTGTTGTTTAGAGGATTAAGTGAGTTAATGAAACACTGTGTGGCATAAAAGGTTGGGTGGTGTTGTCATCTTTATCACTTTGCCTATATTTTTCTTTCTTATAAATTTATGCCAACAAAGGAAATTTTCATTTTTAAGTAGATGTACATTGCATACTCATGTTTATTGTTAACTTATTCTGATTTGGTAATTTTACTAAATACTGGTATACAGCAGTTTGAGGGCAGGTTATGCATTTTTCTTGTCAAGAGTTCTTGGTCTACTACACAGTTTTAATGGAAGTGATAAATGCTATGATCAGCAAGTACAGTGTGTAATGGGAAGATGTAGGCATTCTTTGGAGCAGAGTTGGATGCCCAGTATGGGAGCATTGGGAAGGACTCTCAACCTGGGGCCTGAAGAGCAAAGGCAGTCAGCCAAAAGATAGGGGAGGGAGCTGTGTTCAACTGTTTCCAGCAGAAATAAGTGATGTGCAAAGGCCTGGTGACACAAGAAGGCAGAGTACTTTAGAGGAACTGAAAATTTACTGTAGGGAAGAGCCCTGCTGCTTTGAGGTCTGAACAGGGAGCCAGCTGCTGCAGGGCCTTGACTGCCATGTGAAGGAGCTGGACGTTGCTTATCAGCACTGTGAGGCCACTGAAGGATTTAACAGAGCAGTGGCACAATCAGATTTCTGTGTGTTAACATTTTTATTGTAAAATAATAGAACCCCAAAAGAATAAATGTGTAGCTTAGTGTTCTAAAGCAAACACTCTAGCAGCCGCAATATAGGTCAGGCGGTAGAACTTCAGCAGTCACCCCCCAAAATCCCTCCATAGGCCCCCGTCCCACCTATAGTCCTCCCCAATCACCCTAACACACACACACACACACACACACACACACACACAGACTACCCTGACTCCTACAGTCCTCCTGTCATCCAGGTTGCATGCATCAGGTTGTATGCCTTCACAGTTTGGTTTAGCCTTTGCTCTTGTGTGTGTGTGTGTGTGTGTGTGTGTGTGTGTGTGTGTTGAGATGTTTTTCTTTCTGCTGTCACACTCCCAAGTTCAAGTCATCCTCTTACTTCAGCCTCCTAAGTACTGGGATTACAGGCCTGTGGTGCCACTGCTGGCTTTGCACTTTGCTCATTTTATTTTTCTTTACTTTATTTTATTGATTGATTGGTTGATTGGGCTGAGAGTGGAGCCAGGGCTCTGCACCTGCTGGGGAAGTATGCTGTCACTGAGCTATCACTCCTGCTCCCATTTAAAGTTCTTTTAAGTCTTCTTGATCAGCAATTTCCCTTGCTTCCTTTTACTTTCTCTACCATTTGCAGAGGCACCTGGGCCCTTTGCCTGCCTAACTTCCCACAGTGTGCCACTGAGTGCATACTCTAGTTGCATTCAGAGAGTAGCTCCATCCTTGGTTTTCCTGCAAACTGGCAGCTGGATGCTAAGGTTTTATGCAACCCAGTGTTGATCACACTGACACAAACATACTGACTGTCCTCTCATTCAGACATAAAGTGCTGGTTGTGTCTGCAGTAAGAATCTCCAACCCGATGTGGGAGTAGATTGCAGAGGTCAACCAGAAGAATGATTTAGGCTCTGTTTATCCAGATAAGAGCCTAAAATAGGAAAGCAGGGTTAAATCCAGTGACAAAGAAACAGCATTTGAAAGACCTGGCAGTTGTATCTGAGGACCAAAAGTGCAAAACATTTTTTATGGGGTGTCAAGGAGATGGTAGGACCTCTCTGTGAGCTTGTAACACTTGGGGCTTCTGGGCAATGCTAATAAAGGGCTTTTGGGAGATATAATAATGAGTTTGAAGTTCCTGTGGCTCCTAGAGAAAATATCCAGTCCATATCGTTCAAGCTTTCTCACTACGTCCTGTTTAGCAGTGGGTGTATTATGATTTACACACAACACACACACAAACATGCCACACACACACACATTCATCAACTAAATATTTATCCAATACAATATGCCTTCAAGTACAATATTCATAATTTCTCTTGGTGATAAAAAAATGATATGAATTCTTTTTTGGTTCCGGGGATTGAACTCAGGACCTTGTGCTTGTGAGGCAGATGCAGTGCCACTGAGCTAAATCCCCAGCTTGGTGATAGAAAAATGTACATGGGAAGTTAAAGAGGAGGTAGATTTATTAGAGCAGTTCTGCCACAGTAGGTGAGTAACAGTTAGAAAGATCAGAGGGTACATTGAGGGGGCCAGTACAGCATAGCAGCTGTTTGGGTTTGCTCAGATTCCCTTGTGGAACTGAAGCTAAAAAGAAATATCTTGCAGCAGTCCCCAGGGCAGGGGGCATCAGATGGGCTGAATGCTGCTGATGCTTCTGCAGTTCAAAAGGCAAAAGGAAAACAGGTTCTTGATGGGGTGCAGACAGTGATTTCGTCTTGGGATAATATAACGAGCAGTTTGTAGTTCATCTCTGTGATTTATTTGCAGTGAATACCCTATTACAGAGAAAAATCTGTAAGAAAGGAAGAGATAAAAATTAAAAATCTGCACATATGGCTGACATTTTATATTAACTTCAATATCGTCCCACCCTAAACTCTTGGCCATAAATTTTAAAAATTACATAAAGCTTAGACTGTTTTACCTTCTTTGGAGGGGCTGTTGACATGGGAGAGATTGTAAGGTATGACTGAATCCAGTCTGGGTCCCTGTGACCTGCTATGTGGTCAGGGAAGATTAAAGGAATTCCATTCAGCCTTTGAAATCAACTTTTATTTTCAATGTATCAGAAAACTATAGACCTGAAACTTGCATAACTCTAGATCTACAGCTTAGGAAAGTATTTAATGCATTTCAAAGATAGTTCACAAATTTGGCTTCTGATTTAATTCAGTTTAGTTTATCCTGTTGTGTGACAACATATGAGATACCACAACGTACAGCATTTTAAATTTTATTTTATTTTTTGGTACCAGGGATGGAATTCAGGACCTTGCGCTTGCGAGGCAGGTGCATTGCCACTGAGCTAAATCCCCGACCCAACGTACAGCATTTTTTAATGATTCACAAATAAAAGTTCTATAATTTTGTTTTCCCTCTTATTCTGTTGCCAAGTCATGTTTTAGATATGTTCTTTGGAACTATATCCCAGGACACAAAACAAACATAATTGGTACAGGGTGCTTCTATTGCATTGTTTTATTCTTAAACATAAAGTACTTCAAAGCCAAAAGAATTGTTTTGGCGAGCAAAAGGATGCTTCTGCTAATTCCACAGTGATAAGTTATTTTGTATTTCCTAAGCTGGCTGCCAGGGCTCATTTAGTGTCTTCATATCTGCTGCCATCATTCAGGTCCTTCTGCCCTCTGCTTTGAACTTGTGGGCTTCGCTGGTTTCCTGGGGTCCTTCCTGCCGATCCATCAGGGGATCTGCCCGCAGTGCTGGCCTCAGGTCCTCTGCAGAAAGGAACAACCCTTATTCTGTCCCACAGAACCTGGGCAGCCCGGGCTGCAGCCCGTCCCTTTCACTGAAGCAGGTCAGGTTGTGGTCCTCTGCCTGCAAGACATGGCTACTTCGAGGGTATCACATTTACCCTCGAAAACAATAGCATTCAGACCTCTTTGCTTTAAATTTCAGTATTCATTGATTTTGTTTTTGTTACTGTGTGCTAGGAATTCCAAATATAAAATTAACCAGAACAGTATACTCACTGTCTGAAGAATCTGTGTGAGTCATTGTTTTCCCCTTAAGCAGGTCTCTCTAGATATTTTTGAATTTTACATTGTGAAAGCATAACACTTATTTCTAAAAACAAGAGATCTTAGTTTGTTTCCCAAAATTAATATTTTATGTAAAGAACAGACTTTTTAATTTTTAAAATTTTTGCTAGTACATGTTTGTAGTACATGAGTACACTCGTCTTGGGAGTTGGTACATGGACATAATACATCTTAAGTCTTTCCTTCCTCTTCCCTTCCCACTTCCCTCAATCCCTTGGCCCCCTTTCCACTTGCAAAAGATCTATCTTCCTGTTGCCCATTAGCTCCCTTTTATTTTGCTTTTTAACGTATTTATACTTTAGGTCTCTCATATAAGAGAAACTATGCGATACTACGCTGTGTGTCTGATTTATTGCACTTCACAGTATGTTATCAAGGTGCATCTATTTTCCTACAGATGATTTACCTTTATCCTTTATGGCTGACTAGTACACCATGTGTACTTCTCCTTCTGAGCCATGTCTGTTCTTTTCAGTTGCCCATTTTTGATTGGGTCTTTTATTTGGAAGGGTCTAATGTTTTCGAGTTCTTATGTATTCTAGATATTAGTCTTCTGTCCAGCAAATAGCTGGGAAAAATTTTTTCCCATTCTATAAGTTGTCTCTTTGTTCTTGTTGTTTCTTTTGCTGTGGAGAAGCTTTTAAATTTGATATAATTCCATTGTTGATTCTTGAGGTTATTTCTTGTGCACTTGGAGTTCTGTTCAGAAAGTCCTTATCTGTGCCTGCATCTTCAAGAGTTTCACTGATTTTTTTCCCAGCAGATTCAGTGTTTCTGTTTTAATATTTAGATCTGTGATGCATTTTGATTTTAATTTAGCATATGGTGATAGATAATGGGTCTAAACTCAAATCTTCTGCATGTGGACAGCCAGTGTACCCAGCACCATTTATTAAAGACGCTGGGTCCGGGGATATAGCTCAGTGGCATCACGCCTCTCTAGCAAGCACAAGGTCCTGAGTTTGATCCCCGGTCTGGGGTGGGGAATGGGGGACAGACTGTTTTTTCTCCAGAGTGTGTTTTTGCCCCTTTGTCAAAGATCAGAGAGAGCTGAATGTGCCTGGGGTTATTTCCTGTATTATGTTCCGGTGAACCACATGTCTGTCGTTGTGCCAGTGCCATGCTGTTTCTATCTCTGTAGCTTAGATAACTTGAAATCCAGTATTGTGATATCTCCTACTTTGCTCTTGTTGCCCAGGATTACTTTTGCTATTCCAGATCTCAACTTGGTTCCACATGAGTTTTAGGCTTGTTTTTTCTAGTTGTTTGAGGAATGCTGTTGGTATTTTGATTAGCATTGCTTTAAATCTTTACATCAGTTTAGGTAGTATGGATAAGTACTAGTTCTGCTTATTCAAGAAGAGGGAACACATTTCCACTTTCTGATGTCTTCTTCAATCTCCTTTTTCAGAGATCTGTAGTTTTCCCTGTAGAGGCTTTTCACTTCCTTGGTTAGGTTACTTCCTAAGTATTTAATTTTTCTTGAATCTATTGGGAATAATATTGTTTTTCTAATTTCTTTCTCGATGGGTTCATTATTGGTGTACAAGAACACTATTCATTTTAGTGTGTTGCTTTTGTATCCAGTTACCTTGCTGAAATTAGTTCTATTTTTTTGGTGGATTTTTTGGGTCTTCTGTGTCAAGGATCATGTCGTTTGAATAGGGACAATTAGACTTATTTTCCCAGATGTGTCCCTTTTATTTCTTTCATTCTTATTTTTTTTGGTACTGGGGATTGAATTTAGGACCTTGTGCTTGCGAGGCAGGTGCGACACCATTGAGCTAAATCCCCAGCCCTGTAGCCCTTTTATTTCTTTCTCTTGCTGATTGCTCCAGCTAATGTTTCAAGTACTATGTTTTTTTTTTTATTCTTGTATTGGTACATTTTAGGTATACAATACGTTTACATTTATCCTTTGGTGCTTGTACCTGTACAGGATGTATCTTAGTTCTTATTTTTTTCCCCATTGCCTGTGTGCCCTTCACCCCCTCCACCCTTCCTTATTTACATAAATTTCATTTCCATTTTTTTTTTCTTTTCTAATAATTTTTCCTTTCCCTTCTTCCCTTTCCCCTTCCCCTCCCACCACCCTCAAAGACTATATTAAACAGGATTGGTGATGGTCGACATCCTTGTCTTGCCTCTGACAGACCTTTTTTGACTGTGACTCATTAAATAAAATTTACAGCATAACCCAACACACAGATAACATCTATAAATAAAAATTTAATAAAATAGCCTCTTGAATTTCAATCATGCTTTACGCTCTTACTATTTTCTATTTTATTCCACTTTAATTAAATTCCATTAAAATATGCTATATATTCATTTTATTCCATTAAAATATTCCATATATTCATCTCACAGTCAAGAGGGACACAAGGAAGGGATTCTCAGGAAAGCTGAACAAAGTACAGACTGTGAAATGAATATATGGGCTGCAATCTGTACCACTTTGAGTGGCCTCTTTATAATTCTAGTTTTTAGAATGTTTGTTCCTAGAATACATTGGAAAGCATAATTTTTCATTAAGAAGCAGTGTGACTCTGTGATTCATGATTACATTTCAGGTTTCCAGGGTTGAATGGAATGCAGTCTATAGCACATTATTTCCTCTTGGTGCCCGGAATAAAATTAGCTATATTCCCTTCACTGTTTTAAAAAGGCCCCTAGACTGTATGAAGTTGTATATCTCACTTCAGCAAAGTCTTTTAAAATTATATTGTAAAAGAAAAATTTTGCTAACACATTTTGAAAGAGGAATATTGGAGAAATAATAACCCAAGGGGACTAAAAGGCAGACATTCCCTGTGTCCTTGCACTTTAAGGGATGCCTTATCCAACTTGAGTTTTCTTACTGTGAGAGCTGAAAGACTTAGTGATTAGATGAAATGTTTAGCCACTGTTAAAGTGTCCCTCATTTAAAAAATGTTATGCCATGGGTAAATCTTTACCTACATGTTTGAATTATCTGCATGCTGTGCATGTCCTGTTGTCAGAATATCAGGGGGTTGCTCTTACAGTAAATGGAGTAAATAGATGATCAGGCCAAACAGGAGGAAGCAGGGGCAGGTACTAAATGGCAGCCATAGGCGTGTATTTGTTGCCAGGGCTGCTGTAAATACCACAGGTGAGTATTTAGTGTTTGCATATTTTAGCAAGGCAAAAACTTAAACAACTGAGACATATTGTATACTGTGACTTTTCAACTTGCGTGCACATTTTTTGTTTTCTCTTAAGGATCAGCAACCACTTCGTTTTATTTGCTTAGTTTTCTACTGTACCCTTAGTGCTAATTACCAACCAGACTTACCCAGTTATGTCAGTCTTATCTGAGTGCTTTCAAACAAGACATTCTTAGCAAGATGTCTTTAATGGTTGATCTTAAAGTAACTGCCACAACCTTTTGGATGTACTGGGATCCAGATTGCTTGAGTCTTGGCTCTGCTGCACAGGTTTGCCTTGTTCTTTCTTCTCTTCCGTTGGACCCTCATGCCAAGGGTCCTGTGTTGTCTTTTCTAAAAATATACATTCTAGTGTGGGCAGAGAAATTCCCCAGTGGTTTCTAGAGAAAATTTATAAGAGATAAATGTTGAATGTGTATTCACTGCTCTTGTGTTTAAATGGTAGCTTGGCCACACAGGTTCATATGCTCAGGTCCATTTGCTTGCCACTGACCAAGTCAAAGGTGGTCATCTATTTTGGTGGGAAAAGGATTTATTCAAAGCTAGCTCGGAGGAGATGGAGGGGCCCATGTGCCTCAGGTTACCATCTCTCCTTGTAGAGCTGCATTAGGGTCTTCTATAGCCAGGAACAGTAGGGGTAGGGCATACTGTGGAACAATAGCCATATCCAGGCTTGTTCTATCCCTGCCTGGACCCAGATCTCTCCCTCTCTTACCTGAGGAGATGAAATTGGACTTGACCTCCTGGTGCCAGAATCTACATGTTCTGTCCATTCATCTGGGCTGAGGAGAGGTGGGAAGCCCTTATGCTCTAGATCTGAAGGGGTTTGGAGAAGCGGTCTCTAGACAGGCTCTGAGGAGTTTCCCAAAGTTGGGTGAAGGAACCTACCCTACCCCATCAGAGGAACAGGGTTGCAGGTCCACTGACTCCTCAGGAAACAGTATTTTCAGGACTCGTCAGTGAGAGGCACAGGAAGGATTTCATTAGGCAGAAATTCAGAAGTAGGCACTCTGAGAAGTAGATTGTGGGGTCCTTGAGAGAGATGCACGTTATTTTCTAGAAATGAGAATGTTTTTTGCTTCTATTAAAGGAGTGGAAATCCCTGGAAAAGGTGGCCTACCCCTCGAGCAGGATATTGTCCAGTTTATGGACTTTCAGCATTTTTTAGAAATTTTGGGCGTGATGGGTCTATAAGGAAAGGAGCCTAAATTTATCCAAAGGAATGCTGGATGGCCTTGGGTATCCTTGATTGGGTCCCGAAAGTTGTAATCTTGAAAGTATCAATTTTTAGTTATGACTTCTTTGTCTTCTTTTTACCTTTTATTTTTTCTATCCTACCTCAAAGCCACTTCTAAGGGAAAAAAATACAATTTTTAAAGTTCCATTTTTAAGGTGCTGGTTGTAGTCTGGTATATTTTTCTGATGCTTTTTGAGATATTGCTCTGTTGTATTCTGGATTATAGTGTTATTATTGAGGTATCTGATCCCACTCTGATTCCTGATGCTTTGCATGAAACACAGTATTTCACTCTAAAGCTTTTAGGGAGTTCCAGGATGGTGTTAGTCCTGGATGGATCTGTTTTCATTCACATGCTTGGTACTTAATGGGTTCTTTCATTCTGGAATCTCATGTAGTGTTCTAGGAAGTTTTCCTGATATATTTGGAATGCTTCCTTTTTCTTTTCTTTTTTGGTTCTTGTTCAGATATTCAGCCTCTTGGCCCAGTCCTGTTTTCTTTCCTCTCTTGTTGTCGCTTTCATGCCCTCATTTTTCTGCATTTCAAGATTTTATTCAGCTTTCCTCTAATATTGAGCTTACCTTCTTGCCATCTTTTTTTTCAAAGGCCCATTGTTTGTTCCCTTTGAAATTTTCTTCTACCTACATAATTTATTTTTTTCTAAGATACATAATCATTTTATTCATTTGTGTCTCTTCTGACTTATTATAGAATTTCCTCAAATCTATGATAGTTATTGGCTATTCTTATATAAGAATGGGGTTTATATTCGTTTCCTATTATTAATGTAACAAAGTACCACAAACTTCACTGATTTACCTTCTGTGGAAGCCTGACATGAGTCTAGTTGGTCTAAAATTTAGATGTTAGTAGGGCAACGTTCCTTTCGGAGGCCATAGGAAGAAGTCTTTTCCTGGCAGAACAATCCTTTGCTTGTGGCCTCTTTCCTTTATCTTCAAACCCAACAATATTGTATCTCTGATTACTCCTGCATAGTCACTTCTTCCACTGACCACAGCCATGAAGGGTTCTTTGCTCTCGAGGATTCGTGCACATAATTAGATTGGCCCTATTTGTATAGTCTAGGATATTCTCCCATCACAAGGGCCTCAATTACGTCTGTAAAATGCTTTCTGCCAGGGAAGATAACACACATACAGATGATGGGGGCTAGGCTGTGGACTTTATTCTACCTACCACGTACTCTAAACATCAGATCATCTACTCTGTGTGTATGGTGGGGGTACTTTCTGATTACCCTGGAAGGTGGATAACAATTTGCCTCAACCTTTAGGAAACACTTGATGTCAGAATATTGAGATCTTTACTCTTGGTCATGCTAGGTCTGAAATGGATGGCATGTTTTTGATGTTGCATGTTACAAAATTTATCTTGAATACTGAAAGATTAATAAATAAACACATACAAATTCAGAGTTATTATAATTGATGAGTTACTGTCAGGTACACATTATAAATTATTGCTTCTTCCCTGGAAGGGCCGTCAAGCTTCATCACCCTGGCTGCTGTTGTGTGTTCGGTTTTTCTTGCAATCACATTGGCTACTTCCAGGTTTGGTTTCTCACATGCTCACTGGATGCTTGCATAGTTTTTGCTGAAGCAATAAAGTTGCCCAGCTGAACACTTTGGAAGATATTTTAAGTTTTATGCATAGAAATGTAAAATACATCAACATAAAATACTAAGCCAGTTTTTCAATAGAAAAAATCATTTGATTATGCTCATGTGAACAGTATAGGTACGTGCAAAAGATGCTTTCAAAATTTGACATTGGAATTTGGTATACGAGCCTGCTTTTAATCCTAGTCCTTTGAGCTCTGCCATTTCTCCTAAACAGAAGTCTTATTACCAAATTTGAGTAGTTTTATAGTGTTTTTCCCTTATGCTGAACCCTCAGGGTGAATGCCAACCCATGACACATTTGGTCAATTAAAAGGGATTATAATTATGAATGCTGTTTGGTGCCATTTAGATAGATTATATTCGGTTAGCATTCTTGGGTATTTGGAAAAATAAGACTTCATCTCAGAGGATTAAACATTGGAATAATGACATAGCAATGCCATTTCCCATTTAATAGCTCTGCTATACATTTTATTCTCATTAACTTGGTGTATTTTGACCCTGAGATTAACTCATTATTATCTGCAAATAATCTAGAATACTTTTCATTTAAGTAAAAAATACTGCTTTTGGTTTCTATATTTTAACATTTAATAATTGGGATATTGAATTAAATTAAGTGGTAATGTTCTGCAAGATTAAGTCTACTGATTTAATGAATATAGAATATAAATTATGGGAGAAAATGATTCTTTATATTTCAGGGCTGATAAATTATTTTCACTGAAGATATCTTAATATGTAATCAACTTCCATTCATCATATTGTCATCTTTCTAGCAGCTGTTGCCATATACAAAAAGTAGTTTTTTCCCAAAGTAAATACTGAAAAAGGACAACTCATTATCCATGCTTCTTGGACCTAAAGGAGCCATATGATTACAGAATCATAGAATCTCTTCTAATATCTGCCTCTTTGCAGAATTTATGTCTTGCTGTCTAGAAAATGGCAGAGCTTAGACCCCTCTTGTGTTTCAGCAAGAGTGCTCTCCTGCCTAGCTCTTAGGCGGTCCACTAATGCTGGCACTTTCTTCTGCTAGTTCTTATTGACAAACTTGATGACTTTCTTTGAATGGCAGTGCTTCTCCTCACCAGTAAGAAGTAAAAGCAATTCTAGATGAAGACTGTTCTGGATTCCATTCTTGGCTTCACCAATTAATGTACTCAGCAGCTTTTGAGCACATTACTTTCTCTTCTAAATTCTTTTCTCCAAATCTGTAAAATGGGGATGTAATATGTAATTGAGTTGGGAAGATGAAATAAAGTATGTAAAAGAGTTGGCACATACTATGTGCTTAATTAATATAAAGTACAGCCTCTCTTTCCTTCCAAGTATAAATATTGTATTTTGCTTGATAATGCTGATGTCAGCCTTAGCCATGGGATCAAACAGTTTGAATATGGGCAAAAATCCAGGCCACATGTTAGCTGACTAAACTGTTCAGGTTACTGGCTCCCATTCCAAGCCCTCTGGGTCAAGCCTCTGTATTGCAGGCTTGCCTTGCTCTTCTTGGTGAATCACTACCAGGGCCTCAGTGTGCTTCACAGGCAAGGCCATACAGGTTAGAAATCTACTTTCCGATTTGGCTAAATTTTATAGCAATTACTTTAAAAAGTTTAACATATTACTCACATTTAACATCCATGGTTATGATTCACTTTTAAAATTAGGGGAAAAAACATGAATCACTGCTGTACTAGTTGTGTTTTTAAAAGGAGGGGTAATACATGACTCGTAATTTATTAGAGGTTTTTCCAGTCACACAAAGGCACTCGGTTGAAAGTTGAATGACTTTCTGTCAAGTTACCATCTCAGGAAGGAGACTTTTGGAATGAGTTAGACTAATTTAGATTTTAAAAGAAGAATGTACCTTATTTTGGCAGTTTGGTGGTGTGGCCAGCAAGCACAGTACAGGCGGAGGTGCAGTGATGTCCCATGGACACAGCTGCAGCGGAGCTGGCAGATGTGAAGGTGGCCTGCTCTGTCCTTTTAATTTAACACTGGGCGTTTCTAAGGAGTTCACTGTTCTGTTGAATTTAATTTTATAATTCTTTTTAAGCTTATTTCATTTTCTCTAAAATGTGTAGTTGCATGACTACTTAGTCCAAAGTCAGATTATTATACATAAATCTTCTATTTTATGTTGTACTAAGCAAATGTTTTATAACTTATAAACTACACTTCATATTATTCTGAAATGAGAAAAAGAAGAGGGATCATTTTAGTTCAGTTTTGCCGCTTTGTTGGAAAGTTTTGACAGATAGTAGAGCCTTCTTACTTTTGACCTAACCCCTGTGGAGGATATATTTAGAGACAGAGGCTTTAGGAATTAGGGTTACATGAGCTCATAAGAGTGGGCACCTCATGGTGGGATTCATGTCTTTGTAAGAAGAGAAACCAACACTTGGCACAGGCTGTGTTGAGTGAGCACACATTGAGATGGAGGCCAGCCACCTACAAGGCAGGAAGAGAGTGTCACCCAGCCTGAACATGCTGTCACCCTGACCTCAGACTTCTGCCTGGAGAACTGTGTCAGTATGTTTCTGTTGTTTGAGCCACCTAGTCTGTGGTATTCTGTTATGGAAGCCCAAGCTAAGACAGCACTTCAACATCATAACAGTAATATTCTTGTAACACTAAGTATTGATTTATAGATAAATTTCTGTAAACTCTCAAAACTTTTTGATAAGCTTTTAAATGGAATCATCTGAATAGTTTAATTCAGATCTATATAAAAGTAGATACCAACATCATTATTAGACTTCATTTTATTGGCTATTCAGTCAAATATGCTGTGAAGTTTTAAGTAATACATACTTCTTGGATTACCTGCTTTTTTATTCTATATATAATAGATCAGGAAGCATTTAAAAGAATGGAAGAAGTCTATTGATATAATAATGTTATAATAAAACTTCGGGTTAATAATACTGAAATTTTGGAAAGATGCTTATGCCTCTTTTCTTCCTTTTATGTTTATAATTTAGTTCATAGAAATTTCACTTTGTGATAAATTTTATGTCTTTCCCTACCAACACCCTACCCTCCAAACCAAGAAATTAATAGTCATTTTCTGTATTCAGATCAGTGTACCTCACATAAATTCACCTTTGAAAATATCTTAAGCAAGTTTTCAAACTTTGGACTCAGTTTTCAGACTTTTATACACTTAAAAATTAAGGGAGACATCAAAAAACTTTGTTTAGTTGGGTTATATATAGTGAAATTTACCATATTAAATATGAAAACAAAAGTTTAAAAATACTGATATATATTTATGCTGTTAAAATAGTAAGAGCATCCTATGATATTAAAAGAGTAAGGGCCAGGGATTTAGCTCAGTGGTTCTGCTTCCTGCCTCGTAAGTGCAAGGTCCCAAGTTTGATCTCCAGTATCAAAAAAAAAAAGTAAGAGTGTCCTAAATAACAGTTTTAGGAAAAAAATATATTAAAAACAAAAGTACTTCCTGAGAAGAAAAGTATTTTGCATTTTTGCAAAACTTGCATGTCTGCTTCTGCATTCAGTTTATTATAATCTGTTGTTTTGGTTAAAGCATATGAGGAAAATCACAACTTCGCATACATACATGATTGAAAAAGGAGTATTTTAATATTTTAAAATAATTATGTATATCCCTCTTTGATTGTACACTAAAGCTAGACCAGTGGTGGTACCTAAAAATTAGTTGCAGTGGGAAATCTCAAACTACATTAATGAATTGTCCATATTCTTTTACATCAGAATCCACTGTAGGAAAATGGATGTTCCTTGAGACTATAAAGTGAAATGAAATAGACACACAAACTTAAATATCTCAATGGTTTCTCTTGTATGAGAAACCCAAATAAAGAGCAAATAGAGTGCAAAATAAAAGATAGATAATAGCAAGTAGGAAAGTAGCTCTTTTTCAAATGGTAAGGGAATCAAGAGATGGAGTCTATGGGGAAGGAGGGAAGGAGAAGATGAAAAAAGAATTGAGATGTGTTACGTACATGTACCAAATCCACTCAAGGAAGGTAAACATTACATACTGCAAACCCACTAATAAAAAATAAAAACAAAAAATCCATTGCTATATTTTGCACTTAGAATGACTTATCCACAATGGTTATGTAACATCATGCCTTTGTGATTTTGAATGTTTGTTGATGAGTTATTAAAGTCTTTTCAAATGTTGACACATCTAGCTAAAAAGCTCCTTTGATGTTCTCACTGATTTAGTCAAGGAAGTGTTTAAGTACACTGAATTGAGAGCTGAGCTAGCTGCTCTTTTGTAGCTGATTAATGCCCATTTCACTGATAGTTGTAATTATGCAATTTTAATAATATTATGTAAATAAATGAAGTGTGAGTTCAAAAAGAAAAAGATTTAATGTTTCTAAGGCCAACTTAAATGCTTTGGAACAGCTTACTGTAAAAATTGCTATCATGATTTAGTGTGAATGAGACTTGTAAAAGATAAAGGAAAAACTCTTTAAAAATCTACATTCCTTCACAAGTATCTTTAGTTTCTTTCTATATTATGGAGAAGCCAAAGCTGGAAATTGTGATGATGTGTTGTATATATTCTTTGCAGGAAGAACAAAGAAACTCCATCTGTAGATCCATATTCAAAGAGCAGGCTTTGACTCAGTAATCAACAGATTACTGAATGTGCATACATATAAATATATTTTAAGTTAAAGCAAAATTTATGAAGTAATGTCTTGGTTTTTTAAAAAATGATTCCCTGCTTCACTAGCTTTTTCAGTGAGTTGATGACCTCTGGTTCATATCACATTCAATAAGATAGTTTTTCTGTTGCCACTCATGGACTAGGAGCAAATTTCTCTTGTGCTCATGACTAAAATGTGGTCTCTTCCACTATTGCGCATTGTTTCTGAGGTTGGGTAAGATGTATCTATAAAAGATTTAGAAAACCTTTCAGAACTATAGCTATTACAGCTTTTATAATATTGGGATGTACCTGAATGTACCAGAAACATTTTTTAATGGTATGTTAGTGTTTCATTAAATTGGAAATTATATATAGGAGCATAGAAATTTCCATAAAACTTTGCATGGTGTTTCATGAAGGTTGACTATTATATCAAATGTTCTGTTGTCCATAAAAAATAAACTCACTGTTTATTCAGATGTGTGTGGGTTTAATAAGTGGAAGAAGTTCATTGATAGCGGCTGTGGCGAGGTATATAATATATATATATAGACTGTCATTTATCGATAACCATGACATAGTATAGTGACACAGGGCTGGGCACAAATAACTTGGCATCTTCTGTCTCACCACGTACCATGAGTCTGTGAAAAACCTAGCCAGGAGCATACAGTTGAGTTGTTTTCTTCCTCAGAAGTAAGGAATTAATTCACTTTCTCACTGTTAGCTTACAAGCAGTACATATACACCGGCAAGTATATGACTTGCTTCTGTGACAAAATGGTTTAGAAACTCATTAGTCTTAGTCTTTACAGTACCAGGCTGTATCACCAGGGCAGCTAACTGAACACTGCAATTATTTCTAAATGCAAAGGTATCCCTCCAATTCCTGATTTCATAATGATCACATGATCATTGTCAGTAGTATTGCCAGGTTTTATACGTTTGTTCCTTCATTTTTTCTTTCTTTCCAAAGCATTTATAGAAACTCTTTTATGTATCTCCCACTATTCTTAGTGGAATCTGGTTGTGCATACAACAGAGGAAAAACACATCCTGTCCTTGTGGGATTTAAATTCTAATAGGGCAGCAGTCCCCTGCCACTTCTCGGGTTTTAGTCTAGGAAGGTTCCCTCCTGTGTACTGACACTCCACACACACACCTGTACTACAGCACAGGCCCGGTTAAAGACTTGTCTTGGTGTTCTTATTAAAACAAATTCTAAGGGCCAGGGATTTAGCTCAGTGGTTCCCGCCACCTGCCTCGCAAGTACAAGGTCCCAAGTTCAGTGCCCAGTACCAAAAAAAAAAAAAATTCTAGTAAGGGATACATATGTAAGTCCATAGATAGACACATAGATACACACACATACACATACTAAGGAAACAGAAAAGCAAGGAAGGGGGTGAAATATTGTTGGGGAAGTTGTTGGAATTCTCATAGGGTGACTAGGGAAGGCCTCACCAAGATGGTGTTAGTAGTGTAAATGTCTAAAGGAAGAATAGAGTCCAGAATAGGGGCTTAGAATATTTAAAAACTATTCTGCACCTAGGTGTG